TTACTTTTCTTTTTGAATTAAAAAAGACATGCTTACTTGTCTCTAATCATACATCACATTGTTTATTCTAAAGATGACATTCATAAAGCCACCCATGTTGGCACACAGCAGCTCTTTTAAAAATGGTCTATTTAAAATATATGAAGTATAATTGTATTAATTTGGACATTCATGCTAAGTTCCTAAGAATAAAAGTTTGTATTTATTGAGAACACTGAATTTGGATTAAGTTACTATTTAATGTACTGTATATTCCAACTAGTATCCTTAATTTTTATTTATTTATTCAACAGTAATTCAGTAATGTCCTCAAAGGAGTTTACTCTCATGAAAAGATACAGAGAATCTGTACAAAGAACATAGCTTTCAGATTAGTATTTAAAACTTAGCGATCACTTCTTACAACTTTATCTGGAAAAGTATGCTGTCTGCAATAACATAACAGAGTAAGTAAACTATTTCATATATTGAAAACTAATGTTCCATAGCCTTCCAAAGTACAAGAACGTAATTTCAAAACATTTAATTTATCAGCAAAATTTCAGTCATGGATTTATATCTCCCAGTCCTATCTTCCATCCAGCTATAATATATGAATAATAATACAATTTTCAATTGTAAGAATTGCTGTTATTATGAAGCCTTTTTTAACATTTAGGAGAAAATACTATGTGCTTGATGAATAAAATTATTTACAAGTTTCATAAGCTAGGCCCACTCTTCTGGACATTACTTGAAGTGAAATTGAGAACATATCAGAAGACCTATCAATATTTATCATGCAGGAGAAGTGCTAGACTAATTAAATAGAGCCCTGTTATTCTAGGATATGAAACTTCCAGAAGACACTCAAGGATAAGATTGGTAACTTGATAGCTTTCTTTAAATATGGTAGTTACTGACAAAACAATAAATGCAAGTAAATATTACAGTATTGCAGCCAGAATTAATTTTGAATATATATTTTACTGGGATTAATGCAAGTCTTCAATCCCCAGGAATCAGATAGCATATTTGACCACTCATATTTAACTCATATTTAACCACTTAATTTTTATTATTATAAAAATAATACATTCGGTAATAAAATCCACATCCTAAATATAGTACATTGCTTTAAAATGTTCAATTGACATTGGTATTAGGAGGTGCATAAACACACTTTTAGAGTAAAAAAAGTTGAAACAGTCATTTGAATTTTGCAATCTAATAAGTACACTTTTATTCAATGATTAAATGTGCCTAAATATATCTGCAACATTGAGGAAAAAATGTATATGACATGCCTTATCTTATTATTCTGTCAAAATTCAAGGTTATTATTTTTGTGCTGGGGAGAATAATTCACCTTCATGTGGAAGGGGATTTCAGTTCATCCAAATACAGCTCTGGATAGAAAATAAATAAATATAAATAATTAAATGGTAAGAAAAGTACAAATACAATTTGTTCCTAAAGCTGCTTCTAATGAAGGGAAACATAACTGGGATGATTAGGAATTCATGGGAAATCTTTTCAGGACCACTTTTTTAGCACAGTTTATTTCCGTTTTAAAAGCTGTGATATCTTGACTCCAAACAGATGCGAATGGATGGCGGTTAGAAATTAGGTAGGAAACAGATTAGTTCATTATGGTAAATTACTGGGCTCAACTGATATATCTGGAACAGAGAAGAGGATTTTAGAAAATTATTTCCTTCAATCATTAGAAAGAAAAGGTAACTGCCTCAGTATATGATAGGAAAAAATTATATAATGAAGGAGGTCTGGATGGAAAAGTAACAAAATGTTATTGCTGATTTAAATACAAACTATTCCATTTCAAAATGACAATTGGGACAGGAATAGATGCTGTTCTCAGTTTTAGATGAAATGCCCTCACGTTTTGTTCTATTTATAGGCTGTTCATGAAGATAAGGTATATAATATGAAGCATTTAGAAAAATAAGAAATGGTTGTTTGGTGGTAATCAGTGTAGCATTTTTCACTCTCCAAGAACAGTATAAAAAGGGATAATATAGAAAGTGATGCTTATTAATTCTGTTATCAGAAAAAAAAGTCCCTAATATTAATGGCAGCCTTCAGGTAGCATAGGTGGCAGCAGACTGGAATAAGAGCAGACAGAAGAGTGCCTCCCAAAATGAGCAATTCAATTCCATCACAGTTCCCTTTGGTAGAGCATATTCTAGGTACAGCATGTTAACTAAAGGACAAAATAGGAATTAAATTTATGATTGATTTTGAAGTATTTTTTCTTTCAGAGAAATTTTCAATGGAAACCTCTGCCTTTATTATAATGGTATATTAATACTACCACTTCACTTTCAAAAAAATGGCAACCCATGGAACAGTGTCTCTTCCATTGCCAAATGTAGGTTTTTACTAATAATTTTTCTTCTGGTGTCACCGTTGTCAGGTACACTGGGGCTTCCATATGTTTCCTTTCCCTAATACTCCCTTATTAGTATTGTATTCATGGGGGAATGGATAAAAAAAAACTAAGGGATTACAGCACATTGTGATCCAAACAGGAGAATAAATGTATGGAAATTTTAGTACACAACCCACAGCATCAATGATGCCTCAAGAGGACTTCCATCTATTCACATCACAGTTCATACTGTGAGATTGAACCATGTCACATTATTTCATTCTTCTTTGCACTTTTTCAACATATCACAGAATATTTCTTGGAAAGCATGTATTTCACTTCTTTCTATAACAAATTATCTCAAATATACATAGCCATCATGTTATTGCATTTTGGAGTAATCAATGTTATATAAAGTAAAGAAAAACGGAATATGAAATTGTAAGTGAAAGAAATTGATATTAGAAAAAAGAAGAAAAATAACTCAGGCTACAATGTCATTCGCTATTCCTTTCCATGTCTTTTCACCCTTGCAAACCACCCTTGTTTTCCTTTTATCTTGATTCTCACACTATCTTTAAACTTGTATCTCTTTTGAAGAGTCTTGCTAATTCCAACTATAACTTCGTCATCTTCTCCATCCTCTCCACCCATTCATTCTTTTACTATATGTTTGTTCAGTCTTCCTTCATTCTCTCTAAATGACAGTTGGTCACTCATCTTTGTATTCAATCTCATTTTAATTACCACCAATCATTCTTGATCATATACATTTGTGTTTTATTGTAAACATTTCTTAAGCAACATATACCTACTGTATTCAACTTAGTTCTCTGTGTCTCCAGACATGCCCTATTTATTAATCACAGGGCTTTTGGTGGCTCACAAAGTAAACAATAATAATATAAAAACAATATAAAACAAAAGGCAATTAAACCCCAGACAGAACATCTGGCATCAGATCCAGAAAAGTTCTGTCTTCAGCTATTTCCAGGGGGCAGACAATCTTGAAGACTGCCATTAACAATTGGAGAGAAGTTGGGGAGGGGATTTATTTTGTAAAATGTTAAAAATTTTCAATTAAAAAAAAAAAAAAACAATTGGAGAGAAGCAAACACTTATATAACAACGAGTTTCACCTCTTTCAATTAACAGCCATTCCTCACAACAGGCCACATACTACCCACTTCCTTAGTATCAACATTTGCATCTCTTAATATTTCTTTGTGAATTTTACCATCTTTAGCAAATATTCCACAAGGTATAAACATTCTTGTGTTTCTTCATCATTTATATAGGCAATTGTTCACTCCATTTTCTCTCAGCCACAACTATATTGGGTTTTGATACCTTAATTTTCACATTTCTGCTCCTCATCCATACTGCATTTGGATTTGCCACAAAAAATCATCTGCATATAAAATATTTGTTCACACCCCAACTACCACATTTTTAATGTTTCCAAAAATGTCTTTATTTATTTATTCATATTTATTTTAAATCTCTCAAATATGTTCTGGTAAATCAGAAATGCTAAATATGCAGCTATGTTGTCTAATATAATATGAAAGATACTGAGGGAAAGTTCTAATGAGGAGTTAGCATATATTGGAATATTGATAGAGCCTAGAATGTCTAGCTTTGTAATTCTTGTATGTTACTCTTTCTTTTCAAGTCACACTTTTATTTTATACCTATAAAAAGTATAAATTATAATTTGCCTTTATTAACCAACCTGAACTAATTATTGATATTATCTGAGAAACAAACAATTAGCTTATTGTCAATCATTCATGATAGCAATTAACTTTAAAAGAATAGGCCACCATACTAAATCATAGTGAATTTAAAGTTACACATCATCAAGAAATGTTTTTTCCTTGAGAAATGGAATATAAATATAAAATAAATACATTAATAAAGTGTTTATAACATTCACAGTTCTTGTTTGAGCCAAGTTTTCAACTTCATTCAGCATGTTTTTGAAATGCCTTAGATGAGGGATATAAGATATGGACCCTGATTCTACAAATTAGCTATTGTGATGACAGCACTCTCTTCTTATTTGCCTGATTTAAGTAACCCCAGAAATACAAATAACTTTTGTCAATACAACCTTTTCATACACATGGTTACAAAACAATAACATGTTGGAAGCACAGTGTTGTGCTTCTTGTACAAACGAAAGCAGAAGATTTCTGAAAGCAGCAGATTTCTTTATATTGTAGCTCGTGCTCAAGTTTTTGTTATTGACCAGCTGCCTGGGACTTGGGAAGTATATAGTTGACAATGTTCTATGACACTCACATGAGGTAAGAGAGAAATAATACAGGAGTCCCAAACTTCTCAGCCTAGGATAGTTTAGAAACAAAAGCATCAAAGCTTCTTATTTCCCGCTGGACACTTTTTTGTGAACAGGTATGCACTCAGTCATAGCACCCACATTTTCCACAAACTTGTTTTTATCCCTGCACTTCCCTTGGTCCCTTGAAAGATGTGCTACCAAAGGCCTCCCTCAGGATGTCTGGCCTTGGCCTCCGGTGACCCAGGCGCCTTTAGCTTGCTCCTCTCAGAGACTGTCTGAGAATCCCTCCCCAGGACCTTCCTGCCCCTGAGGCCTGATTCTCACCGTCCTCGTAGTTTTTGAGGTAGTAGTCCGGTCCCGGTCCACCACGGCTCTTGGCTGGGTTCTTCACGTTCTGGAACTGCAAAAAGTCGGTCCTTTTGCCCGCGAAGCGGAGAAAGGCGGGCGCCAGGCCACGCGCCAAGGTCACTAAGCGCCGGGAGCTGCAAAGAAAGGGGCTGACTGAGCGAGGACGAAAAGGAAGGGAGCGAGGCTGCACGGCTGCGACGGGCTGGGCGCGGCGCCATCGCGGCTCCGGTGCCCGTCAAGAAACGGCTCGCCAAGCCGGAAGCTATCAGCACAGCTCCGGGAGAGGCCCCAAAAGCAGAGTACACTGGCTTGAATTCCTGCACCAGCTGCTGGAGGAAAGCGCCGGAGAGCCAAGCATCCGTTCCCCCAAAATTGCCACAGGGACGGCGGCGGTTCTCAGGAAAGGCGCCACGAAGGGCACTTGCGCCTTCTCGACGGAGCTGGCGTTGCCCTTGCCATCTCCTCGGACTCCGTGGAGGTCCCTTTCTCTACCTCCCCCCCTCCCCACGTGCTTGGGACAACAGGCGGCGCAGCGATTGGCTGTCGGCTGGGAAGCCCGTGTTGTCCTGACCAGCGAAGCAGAAGGAGCCGAGTTGCTTTTGCCGCCTGAGGTGGGCAGATTTTCCAGCGTTCCCTCGCCACGGCCACTTGTGGCATCGCCCGCGGCTCCTCTCCTGTTTTCTCTTCCCGGATCAAAATCGCCAAAGGAGACGGGAAGGCTGGGGCCTGGATACTGCCCTGGGGGGCTCCTCACAGGAGGCAATTTGAGACCCCCTGCAGATCTCTAGAGATGACATCCGCCCGAGCAAACCTCCGGAGAGGGGCGGGGGAAAAGACAAGCAGCGAGGATTTTCAGAACGGCGATACGTTTCCGAGATGCTTTCTCCATTACAAACATGTGCATCTTAATAGGAACCATGGCCCGGCCTCTTCGCCGCGGCTCTGCGGGCCGTGGGAGCCCGGAGGGTGCATGGGTCTAACCGCAGTGGGGGCCACGAGGGCTGGAAGAACTAAAGAAAACGCGGCGTGTGGAGAGAAACCCGAGAGCCGCCCCTTACCTGAGGAAGTCCAGCCAGCCGTCGTGAAGGATTGAAGGGTCCAGTTGCAGCGAGAGGAAGTTCTCGCTGGTGACACGGAGGGAGCTCCTGGTACTCACGTCCAGGAGGATGAGCGTCCTGGCCGGGGTGCCCTGCGGGCTTGTCCTGGCGGGAAGCCGCTTCACCCCGGCCTGAGAGGGGAGAGAGAGGTGAGCCAACAGCGCCAGTCCAGGGGCCAAAAAGGCCAAGAAGCCAGAAGGGCCAGAGCCGGGGCAGGGCATGCTGGGCCGAGGGGGGTTCCTCAATTAAGTCCCGCGCCGGGCACAGCCAGTCACGGGCAGCTAATTGTCCGGAGTGCAAAGCGTGGGGGCGCGCTGCCTTTTTTCCCCTCCCCCTCCTCCCCCCAATGTTTTGGTGCTGGGGGAAGAGGGGAGCTCACGCCCCTGACCAGCCTTCCCCGGGGCCGGTGCCAAGACGCCTTGTTCGCCAGCGCCGCCCCTAGAAGAGTCGCCGCCTGCGGACATTTTCGCGTTTCCAAAGGTAAAGGAGAATCGTTCCTAGCTTAACGCTCTCGGCCCGGGATCCCCAAGGGCCCAGGCTGGTTCCCTAAAGGATGACGGCTGTAGGCAGCGAACGTTTTTTGTTTTTTTTTCCAAAGGCCTTTCCCCCTCTGCGATTGTTTAGAAGACATCTATCCAGAAATTGCAAACAATCCTTTTGCTAAGGGTAGTTTTGCAAACCGGAGCCTCACCTGGGCGGGTCAACCAGAGCCCCGAAATAGATTGCATTGTTCGGTCCATTGCTCAGTCGCGGAGGCAGTGCTGGCAGTTCGGCAGAGATCTGGAGCCCGTGTAGAGGCAGGCGGGGAGGGGTCGATCGCTGAGGGTGGAGGCGAAAGAAAAACATTTAAGTTTAGCCTTTGCTTTTTTCCTGGTTCTTCTGCGTTCTTAACGAGCAGTCAGAAAACCAGAAGTGCTGGTGGAAGGGTGCAGGGATACTAGCAGCGGTTTACCCGCGCTGCCAAAGGCCGAGAGAGGAGTCCAGAGCCCGATGCCGCCGAGCAAGAAAGAAGCGCTGGGGATTCAAGAGAAGCGCTGCCCTGAAAAGCAGAGCTCTGCGAGGAGGAAAACCGGAATGAGATGGAGCGGTGAGTCCAGCCATCTTCTAGGCCAGGAGGGTAATTTTTCCCATATTGGAAAAGCAGCCTTTCCCCAACAACCGAGAAAAGTTCTGCGAAAATGCCCTCCCATCTTTGTACCCCCTTACCTCTCTACTTTCGGGGCAGTCGTCTTCCGCCTTTTCTTGGGAACCTTTCTCTTCGGCTGTAGGAAGAATCAAAGGCAGCGCAGAGGTATTTTTTCAGTCAGAAGAGTCGGGAACTGAGCTGCCATACCGGACAGACTGGGGATAAGCGAGGCGGCCAAAAAAATTGATCCAGTTTTGTCTCGGAGACAACTGACAGAGGCGCCTGAAGGCAGATCATCGCCACTCCCCCCTTCTTTGGGAGAGATTCACTGTGGGCCGTGGGATAACTCCAGTTCAAAACAAGCCTCCAACGGCGCTCTTAGTGGGTATCGGTACCCCCTTCCTTTTGACGCGTCAGTCTGACTTTTCTGGGTATAAGATCCATATGGAGCAAAGGATAATTGCTTCGGAGTAAATCTGCGCGACCCTAATCTCCCACGCAGTACAGAACACGAAATCAATTCCAGAGAAATGCAGACCAAGCCTTTTCCAAAAAGAAATATTTTCGATGGAATTAGGTTGCTAAACAGTTGGAAGAGCTGGTCTCTCTGAGCCTTGTTTACATGCAGCTTGCTGGTGCTGCGGCTGAAACAGCGAAGCAGTCCCCACAGAGTGGCTGGCGGGCACTTTTTTTTTTTTTTTAACCTCTGCGCCGAGACAGCCGGTACGTCTTTAAAGACCGTTTTTGTATACTCATCTCCTGCCCACACCATTTGTGGCCTAAAAAGAGGAACTTCAATACACCTCCTTTTGTCAGTATAAGCCTACCGTACGCGCCCCTCCAAACACACACAAAAAAAACGCACCTCAAAACGTTAGGGACTGTAAATGAACGATCAGAATTCTGCAGCTTTTCCAGTATCAGATATTGTCTTCAGAAAGTGGTTTTGTGCCGGGGCTGTGTGAGTCATGTCTACCATAAAGTGAAAACTATTGAGTTTAGTCGACTGCATCTGATTTATGGCTCAAGAGACTAGGATTAACCTTTCTTCCTCTCACTGAATACTGTGCCATAGGAAGTGCCTCAGTGAAATCTGAGAGGGGAATCAGTTGCACTTTATGGATATAAGTTTAAAAACATTACTACTCACGAGTATGTTTCAGGTATCACTTGGTGCACAAGACAATTGCTGATTACTTATGTCTTTGTGGACTTCAGATCATCCTCCTATCCTGTGTATCTTTAATTAAAAAATAAATCCTATCAACCCTATTGGAGTTTACTCCTGAATAAATAAGTACTATATAACAAGAATGCGGCTACGGTAATAATTATTTGATCAGCAAGCCTTCATCAATTTGCAGTAGAATTTATCCTATCACAAACTACAAACAAAATGAATGATTAATTAACAGAGAACTTTTCACAGCTGTTGACCGGAGGGAGCCATTCCTTATTTTATGCTCCTAATATTTCCAAATGATGAAATATGCACTTTTGCAACAAATTGTCCTGTTATAGCCATTTATAAACACCTTCTGCTAAGGTTCACTAGGATGGAGGTGCAGCCAACAAGGTTAAAACATTTCAGCTAGGAAAGGTGCTGTATCTGATGTCTGCTTCTCAGGGAGAAGCAGCAAGGGTGGAGGAATGGGTTACAGTACTAAACTTACCTGACCCAGAGAAATATATTAAGTAGTCATCGCATTGGTCTTGCCTAGTGTCTCCTTGTCAGAAGATGGCTGCATAATTGGACTCCCTGAGTTTGGGAGAGTACGCTGAAAGATGGGGATAATATTGCTCTTCCTTTATGAATGTAAATCGTTCTCCATTCCCGAAGGTAGTCCAACAGAGTCCTTGAGCCCTTTTCTTCTACCCTCTCCCCCTCCCCTTTCTTTTGACAGTATCCAGATCCAGTGCTAGGAAACTTTAAAACAGTGATTTGGGTATGTAATTACTAGATTCTTCAATGCTACTTTGTGGAAAATTTATTAAAGCAGATTAACGTCTCTCTGAGTGTGCTCAGATTATTGATCATTCTTAATCCAGTACATCTTCCAATTATATTAAAAGGCATCAAGTTTACAAGATTTCCAATATCAATTGCCCATGAAGCATAGTTTATCCAATTATTTAAATTTAATTAAATTCAATTTTTATGCATCTTTCAGTTCTGCAAATTAAGATATCCTAAAATAAACTTGGGAATTCTGACAGGAAGCATGTACTCTATTTTCTTTCAACTTAATATCTTTTACGTATAAGATGAGCTGAAAGGGCATAGTAAGTAACTCTTTTCCATTTATTTTAAAGCATTAGTGGTTTTATGAAATCATTTTTTTATACATAGATCATGTAAGTATTTTAAAATCCTTGTCACCAAGGATTTCTGATAATCTTTTATTTCTCTCCAAATTAATATGCTAAATAGCCATCTGAAAAATCTGGATGCTTCTTCACTGTGCCATTGATATCTGAAAACTATGAGGGTGATGCTATTAAAAAAACCTTAATACTACTATTAATAATAGTAATGTATTAAATTTATATGCCACCTGCACCTAACTTAATAATCTTATGCTTATTATCAGATAAACTTCCCTCATCTTCAAAGTGTCACAAGGCCTCTGTCATTTTTACCTCCTCCAAAGGTCCAAAGTTACTTCTATTGTTTCTCGATGGCTGCTGGAATCCATTGAACCAGTATTTCTAAAGATCCCCTTGAAATGTCCAGCAAGAGCTGGCTTGGAAGCAGCAATTATTGCAACCAACTCAGAAATGCCACTCTCTGTAGGACTTCTTTCTGTGACGTGAGGAACAGCTTGTTTTCTTCCACTATAATAAAAGATGAAATATGTATTGCTGACCATTTATCTCTAGTTCCAGTATAATTCTACTAACTAGCAGACTGCAATACCAACCTGTTCCCTACAAGAGAGTCCCATTGAAAATATCTTTTAGGAGTAGGCTAAAACATTTCCTACACTTATACGCTTAAACAGTGCACATGCTCTAATTATAGCATTTGCCTTACATTCATGTGAAATAATTATAGTATATGGAAATAAATGTTGTTTAACAAATGAGATTGGTGTCTATAGAAAATCCAAAAATAAAGCTGAGTTCACAGTACAAAGAATATGTTCTAATTCAATTCTGTATCTCTACCCTGCCTGGTGTTTCCCTTCAGTTTGATCCTGGAAACCTAAGCAAGGTCTGTCTTGCTGAGTTCTTGGATGGGAGACCATCATAAAATTCAAGAACTGTGGACCACCCAGAATAAACATCCCTGAAGGTGGTAATGATAAATCTTTTTAGTGAAGAAAACTGCAGGGATTTATTCAGGGGATCAACAGGGTATGAGCTCAACTCAAAAATATCTTTACCTTTTTTATTTATCTGCGTATACAGTAGATGTAGAAGATTAGGAACTGTCAGTGATTAGACTGATTTTTTCTTGTGTTTGGGATCTAGGCGTTAATTGGGATGGGAGAAGAAGTAAAAAAAAGGGGGGGGAGGCAGAGAACTACAGCTTCTCTCAAAGTTTCTTCGCCGCTGAACCTACTTGGAGAAAGCAAAGAAAAAAATGATTTTTGCCAACTGTACTATCCGGCAGAGGGCGCACTACAGAGCTTCTGAGACTTTGATTTGCCTTCCAGTACACCACTATCTGACATTTCTGACATTGCTTTAGGAGCCATTCCCTGAGCGCCTCCTGGCGGCCAAGATTCAGGTCAGTGCCTGAGAACTACAGGAGATTCCTAAAATGCAGGCGGCTACGTATTAGATAGCGGGAAGTGGGGGAGGGGATTAAAGAACCTACAGCACATCCGTAGATCCTTCCTCGCATCTTGGAATTCTGGAACTGTAAAGAGAAAGCTAACTGAGTATACCTCGCTCCTTGTCTCTGCCAGTCAAATGAAAGGATGGTAGGAACAAAAAAACTCTGCTGCCTCAGGCGGTGGGCCCATTTAGTCCAGTATTCTCTACCGCAAAGGAGCCAAGTGCATTTTGGAAGTCCGCGAACGTGGTGGATCACTCAGGCATTTCTCGATAGTCTTCTTTTGGAGTTATATTTAAAATATGCTGCCAGTGGTTCAGGAACTAATGCGTGAAAGTGTGGGTTCTTCTAGCCGAACCCGTTGGTGCGCGTGGAAACAAATGTTTTAACTTAATGTTTTATACTGTTAATCAATGATTACCAATAGCTACTGGTGTGAACTGAAGTTCCGTGTCTGCATTAATTGAATGAGAATGAACACTAAGTTATCCAATTGTGCACCATCTCACTCTTGCCTGCCCGTTCTTGTGATTACATTACCCGTGGCATTCCCGAGAAACACTATTATTGTGCTCCCTGGTTTATGGTTTTGCTCAGAATCCCTTTGCCAAAGAAATACCTATAGCATAAATGAATGGACTTCTGATTTCTGAAAGGTTTCTGAGCGTGCAGTGCCACGCTTCCGCTCCGCTAGGTGAGCTACTGTTACCAAGAAGGACAGGGTGAGATCTCAGGCTCGGCTTGGGCTCCCTAATTTAACATGTGGTCCATTTGTAAACTCTGGGAGACTTCTACTACATAGGCATCAGCGCGCATTAATGCCACCAAAGATGCTTTCCCGGCAACCTGCCTAGGAACTCTTCCTTTTGTTCACGTCTGCAGATAGACATTTTCTCCTCCCGAATTGGCGACTTGGCACGTATATTTGCCTTTTTTCTTGACAGGTTTCTCATTTTTCTGATCGGTAAAATCTAGATTAAGCGATGCCAAGTATGTCAATGATCTGTCCAGGGAGGAAAAAATCCTTTTTACAGCGCTCATGAAACTTCTTCCAGCGGACAGAATAAGAAATGTATGAGTGTTAAAATAAACGGAGTAATACCATGATATTCGGGTACTTTTTAAACCACCGTAGCCAGGAGCCAGAAACCTACACCTTTAAGGGCGATCTTGATTTTTCTTCGGAGCCTTGAGCTTAACCTGTGCGACTGCGCCCGGCTCAAGGCTCCTTCCGGCTGACACCCCGATCCAGTAGATCGCGCAAGAGATTTAAGGAAAGGATTCTCAGGCGCTTACTTCTTCGCTGGCGAGGAGTGCCCCCCCCGCCTCCCACCTGCTCATTCGATGCTTTATAGCAGTTTCTACGGCAAAAGTAAGCAGGTGACTCTATTTTGTAGCCAACCCTGTCAATACTTTTTAGTGGAATCTTGTGATCATCTTCAACTTTACCAGGTAAACTCTAGCGTCGCCATGACTGCAGTAGTAGTTTGCACATAGGGGTTCATTCTTTATGCGAGAAGACTCTTCGCGCCATTTTCTTGTAACGGAACACAATGCGTGTATTTCAGTAAACACTCTCGCCCTGGGCTATGTTTGTAAAATTAAAACGCAAGGATTATAATCTGCACCGAATCTGAGTGCTCGTTTGCCGCTACTCCCCCCTCATCCCTCGCCCCCTCGAGGTGATCATTCAGGGCGGGGTAGAGGCAGGACGCCGATCGCCTGTGCTAATGGGGGTAGAGAAATGCCTCTGCGGAACAAGCTTTATAGCACAACGACCTCACATATACGAGATTCAGAAGATAAGAGGTTGGAGTTGCATAGGCGACCCTGGAAATAGCGAGGAGGCCTCAGCCTCCGCCTCAGCAAAAGTGAATCTGTGGGTTTCCCATCCAGCCCATTTGGCTGCCTGAATAAACTGGCTGAGAGGGTGGACAAAGGAAGCTTTTCCTTGATTTCAACTTAAAATGAGCCTAGCAGGCACTGGTCAGGAAGACTTTCTAATCTCCACCTATGAACCAGGCCTATATAAATATATACAAAAACAGCCGGTTTTGAACCAATATCTGTTACAAGTTTGTCAAAGGAATGATATTTTGGTTTGCTTGGTTCAGATTGTCCCTTGCTTTGAAGCTTTGGACTGGTTTAATTTATGCAGACTACTGTTTGTACTTGCTTGGGCTTGAAAATCCTATGATCTAGTGGCTGTAAACAGATCAAATAGCAGTTGGTTGGTTTTTTTAACTAGATTGTCTTCCAGATATTTATGGGAAACATACTGCATAAGATTAAATGTCTGCAACAGAGATGGTATTTCTTTCTTAAAAAGTAAAATCAAGTAGAAGGTGAGGTGTTTATTCCTGTCTTCACTGCCCTGCAGAAATTAGTCTTTGAGAGCAAAGAATCACTGGATAAGCATTCCTGAACTTGGTGCCTTCCAGTTGTCTATCTAGACTCTAGAGAAAAGAGGAAAGTTATCAAGTGTCTGGCAGGCAACAAGTCCCAAATACAGAAAACTTGCCCTTGATCCAATCAAAATTAAAGCACTTTTGTGT